GCATCTTCCACCCATACATGGACGAACAGAGTCATCCCGCCGCGTGCACAAAACCAGGCTGTGCATCACAGTTTGGTGGCAGACTGGGGCTTCTGAAACGACTCCGAAGCATCCCCTCTCGAGCTTGAAACCTGGAACCCTGGTTCGCTAACGAGACGAAGCTTGGGCCAAGACAGCTGAGGATCAAGGCGATTGGCTTTTGAGGAGAAATGTCACGTTTTGGAGAGGATTGGTTCACCAGCGTCGGAATATTGATTCAGTTGTTGAAGGTGAAATGGACTTGTGTATGGATAATTATAGATAATTATAGGTACATATAGTGAGGCTGAGTCTCTAACATTTGTGATGCGGGAGCTGTTAGAGTGACCGAGGATATTGCATCGTCAAGTATACTTCAGTTGGTCAATTTTGATCAGTATACGGACAAAAACCCGTAATTAGTATCTTTTTTGCCTCGTCAACAGCCTCATCAATAATTCAGTTGTTTATTCCCTATCCGAGCGTGGTATTTCCATCATCAGCCCAAGAGCGGACGATAACCCCTTAAGCTCCCCATGTCAAAAGAGCCCCTCGTGCGACGTTAAACCCCGCCCCCTGCAAGTCCACTTTATGCATACCTTGGTACCTGCCTTAGGTAGGTCTCCGCACGACCCCTGCTTCCTTCCTTTCGATGGAACGTCTGCTGCTCTTCCTCTCTGACTCTGACATCCTCCAACGACGATCCTAGATCTTGCATATTCCCGCAGCAGCCGCTCTGCCCAGAAACAGGAAATATACAGTTCAGCAAATTAGCAGGAGCATCAGCAATGAGCCCAATCAAGTCATCATACGCCTTGGACTGGCTGGAACTTGGGATGATGGCGGTCTCATCCATATTGTCAGCGAGTGCTGGCTGACCATTACGACGACGACGACGACGCCGAGGCTCGAAATAGCATCACACGGCAGAGTTGCTGTCCCGTCCCGTCATGTCAACCGGCCTGTCACTGCGGCCATCTGCAGAACCCCTTAACTTGCTCATCAGAAACGTCTAAACAACCGAGAGTCGATCATGAAAGCGCCTGCCAAAGTCGTCAGAGAACATGTTTGCCCCATCAATTCTCCGGCCTCGAAAAACGGCCATCACCAGATGGACGGCGGCAGGGGGGCCCAATCCCTCCAATGATGCCTCCTCTCATCTGGCGACAAGCCGACTCGCCATCCGGGGGCCCATGCTTATACTGTATCTATATCGTTCTGTTTAGCAGGTAACCGCCCTGCATGCTGGACCCCCATATGGCACGACCTTACCCATGTCGGATAACCCACTTTCTCCAGAACCACGTCTCGTCTTTACAGTTGCTCCATCACGGTCATGGAGGGGGGCAGCAACAACATGTCCGTCACGTCTCATGTTCAGGCCACCTCAATCAACTCCCGATCGATGCCCGGGATCACCGTGCCCTCCGCCACGACCTGTCATGGCTGGCCCTGGCCTCACACGAGGGCTTAGGGGCTGGTCAGAAACGTCCTTAAAGACGAAGCTCTCGCCGTCTCTCTTGGCCTCTCTCTTATTCTACCTTCTTCATCACCAACCTCAGCTTCTTCTTTCTCTTCTCATTCGTTTTGTTCCCCGTTTTGGGTTTGCTTCTCAGTCATTCTCTTCAAGACAGGTGCTTGGTTCGCCTTCTAACAAAATCTTCAACTCTTGGTTCTTTGATAGAACCATTCATTCATTGACAAAACAACAAAACAAATCAACTACCCGCCAACCTTCCAACTTCCCCGAGAATCTTCGAACATGTACATGCGCAACGCACTTGTCGCGGCCGTTGGCCTGCAATACCTCGTCGAGGGTATCCTTGCTCAGGACAAGGTCACCTTGACCAAGACCGTCACCAAGCGCAAGTCCAGCTCCAGCGTCGCTGCCGAGGAGGCCACCGAGGACATCACCACTGTGGTTCCTACTTCTTACATCACTGATGGAACCACCATCTGGGTTGACGAGACCATCACCATCCCTTGCAGCGCCTCTGCTTGCACTGCTACCGAGACCACCGGCTCCGTTGACGCAGAGACCACTGCCGAGACTGCTGATGCTGCCGGCACTTCTTCCGAGTCTAGCGTCGATGGCAACGTGACTGAGCAGACTGCCGACATCACCACTGTGGTTCCTACCTCTTACATCACTGACGGTACAACCATCTTTGTCGACGAGACCATCACTATCCCTTGCTCCAAGTGCGAGGCTACTTCGACCGCCGAGGCCGAGTCAACTGCTGAGACTGCCGACGCCAACACCACCGCTGAGACTGCCGATGCTGCTAGCACTTCTGAGCCCGTCGACGGCAATGTGACTGAGCAGACCGCTGATATCACCACCGTGGTTCCTACCTCTTACATCACTGACGGAACTACTATCTTCGTGGATGAGACCATTACCATCCCCTGCACCAAGTGTGAGGCCACCGAGACTGGTGCTGAGTCGACCGCTGAGACTGCTGACGCCAACACCACTGGTGCTGAGTCTACTGCCGAGACCGCCGATGCCAACACCACCACTGAGACCGCCGATGCTGCCACTTCTTCCCTGCCTGTTGACGATGGCAACGTGACTGAGCAGACTGCCGATATCACGACTGTCGTCCCCACCACCTACGTCACTGAGGGAACTACCATCACCGAGGAGCAGACCATTACCATCCCTTGCACCAAGTGCGCGGCTACCCAGACCACTGGCGAGGCTGTGAGCACCGCTATCGTCCCCTCCGGTGACAACACCACTGAGACTTCTGCTGCCTCTGAGACCCAGTCCGTTGCCAGCTCCCAGGACGCCGACGGCACCACCAGCGCTGAGGAGACTGGCGCCCAAACTGCCGGTACTGCCTCCGACGATGCTGAGACCAGCACTGAGGTCGAGTCCACCATCCCCACCAGCTTCTCTACCAACATCCTCTCCACTGGCTTCGGTGGTAGCACTGCTACTGGCCCTACTGGTCTCTTCCCCAACACCTCCATCGCTGTTGAGACTTCCGCCATCGCCTCCACTATCGTCCCTGAGGAGCCTACTGTCACCACTGGTGGGGTCAAGACCTCTGGCACTGCCGTCGTCTCCAAGATCCCCAAGCCTGTCATCGTTGTGATTCGCGAGGTCACCATCTTCCACCGCACTGTCGTTATTGGTGCTGCCTGCCCCCCTGTCAAGGCTGGCAACAGCGGCAACTACATCGTCGGCCGTGACAGCGAGGAGAAGAGCTTCACCGAGATTGGCGACGCTCTCACCGAGGCTTGCAACAAGCAGTTCAAGTCTTGCTCCAGCATCGCTGGCAAGAACTTCCGTGTTGCCGACTGCCAGAAGCAACTCACCAACTGTCTCGCTGATGCTGCCTCCACTGCCCAGGCCCCTACTCCCGTCACCAAGGAGTCCACTGAGACCGCCTCCATCATCCTGCCCTCCGATGCCACCATCACTGGCGAGTCCAAGTCCTACATCGGCAACGGTAACGTCGTCATCTCCACCCGCACTCTCACTGTCTCCGAGTCTTGCGAGATCTCCGATGGTACCCCCGTCATTAAGGGCCCTACTGAGACTGGCGAGACTGCCGTTGAGACCACTGCCGATGCCGAGACCACTGCTGATGCTGAGACTACTGCTGATGCTGAGGTCACTAGCGCTGCTGAGTCTGACGCCGAGTCTACCCAGGATGTTGCTACCACTGAGGCTTCTGAGGAGGTTACCGGCACCCAGACTGGCAACGTTGTCACCAGCATCACCATGACCAACAGCAACGGCGAGGTCACTGTCACTGCCATCACTCTCACTACTGGCCAGCCCACTGGCACCGGTGCTGTCTCTGTCCCCACCGGCGCTGATTCTACCGAGGATGCTGCTACCAGTGAGGCTACCGAGGAGGTTACTGGTACCCAGGGCGTTGAGTCCAGCGCTATTGTCATCACCATGACCAAGAGCGACGGCGAGATCAGCGTCACCTCTATCACCCTCAGCACCGCCGCTCCCTCTGGCACTGGCGTCGTTACCATCCCCTCCGGACCTGGCGCTGATGAGACCTCGATCCCTGCCCCTGAGGCTACCGACTCCTCTGCCATCGGCCAGGACACCACTGCTGTTCCCTCCGGCACCAACGGCGTTGTCACTGTCACTGTTGGTGGAAACACTGACGGCATCGTCACCGTCACGGTCGGCGGCAACACCGACGTCGTCACCCAGACCGTCACTGCCAAGGTCACCGAGACTGAGACTGTCACGGTCGGCTGCGGTGCCAACGGATCTCAGTCCGCTGCCACCATCATCTCGATCGTCACCACTTGCCCCGAGTCCACCACACTGGCTACGGCCACTTCTACTCGTGCCCCTGAGACGGTGTACGTGACCGAGGTCGTCGAGTTTGCCCGCCAGACCGCCACCCCCGACACCCCCCAGCGCCTCCGCCGCATGCTCGGCTTCTCCTGGTAAATCTACCAACCATGATGCAAGTCACTTTGTCACAATCATACAAAACAACAACCACTACAAGGATTTAGAGGAGGATTAGGGAAAATCAAATTCAAGGATTAACGGAGCGGCCGGCCCCGAGAAAGACACCGCTTCGGTCTGTGACCAGGCGGTGGAAGGGAAAGGGGCGGCCGTGAGGGGAATGGGAATTGGGAACTGAGATCTGGAGTCGTGTTCCTTTTGTTCTTTCATGTGCATATGAATTTACCCACGGGTGTGTAACATAGCCATGTACCGCCTTTTAACTCGAGACAATTGAACGCGATTTGGTGCTTATGACTTTTATGACATCTATAACATGGTGAATGGCCTCAAGTGCAACTCCGAAAACGAAACATGTGATGTTTAAGGGGTGAACTTGTAGAGTGGGTAGTCAGGGTTACTTGCCAAGATGTCGCCTCCTGTTTCTCTTCGTTTGGCTTTGCATTCAAAACGATGGATCAGTATCAGATATCTTGGCAGAGATTGCCTCGTCATCTCATGCACAAATAACATGTGAAAATAACAAACGGGAGCAACATGTCTTATACAAGCTCTACTCTAGTCTTGAACAATACGACAGATGTATGCTATCTCCCAAACACACCTGGCCCGTAACGGCCACATTCCCTTTTTCCATCCTCCAAAAAATCAACACGTTTAAACGCCCACAGAGCCCGCTAAACGATAGCGCAGTAGCATTGTCGCCGCGGGTCCTGGTTCAACACACTATCCGCAAAGCGATGGCGTAGAAGCACTTTCGCTGCCGAGGGGACATGAAACTCGTAGGACAGCGTGTACAAACGCTGATGGGGTATCATAAAGAGCAAAACAATGCGTGAAATCAATGCCGAAGCAAAAGAGAAAGCACGATAATACTGGCAAGGCGTGGATGCTCGGGAAGGGTCCGGCCTAGCGGAGGACGAGGTAATAGCGCTGAAGCATTGTCACCACGTCCATTGCAAGGTCGGAGGGTCCTCCACCAAACATGTTGCTGTTGAGGCCGTCGCTATGAATGACCCGCAGAAGAGGTCAAGCATTGAGATATAGCGGCGTCCCAGAGGTTCAGCGACTGAGCCTTTACCATGGCGAAATAGTGAAGTGGATGTCGTAAAAGCATACTCAGTAAGAGAGATGCTACGTGGAAAATAGCTAGCACGTAGGTTGAAATACATGCCGTAGAGAAGTGAATTGATCGTTGGCCGGAGGCGACAGTTGAAGATCAAGTTCGGACGAACGACTCCTCTTGTTGTTGAAGAGGATTAAGCACGATTGGCTTTCTTCCAGGGAAGAGAGCCAAATCCACGCTCGTTGGCCTCACGTCGAGCCGCCCCATCGTCAAACTCACTAGACGAGTCGTCCTGAAGCTTGGTGCTGGGTGGGTTGCCGAAAATAGTGAGGAGAGTCTTCATGACAAAGGCGCTGAGGATGCTCATGCATAGAATTCCAATCATAGTGTAGTTGCTCTTGCGGTACTGGTGAGGTCCAGGAGCAGCGTCTTCGGGCCAACCAGTGTAGAGAGCATAGGTGGTGACAACACTTCCTAGGTTGCCCAGGCCAGAAACAAGAGCGGTCGCGGCGGCAACTCCAACTTCGCCATGGCGCTTCTGGAAAATCTCGGAGCTCCAGGCCATGCAGATGGGAACAGTAGGACCGAGGCCAAAGCCGACCATGAGAAGACCACCGTATCGAGCCCAACCATTGTTGGTGGCCAGAGTGACAGTGAGAAGGCCAGCGATCTGGATGCAAGCGGACGCCGCGAAAAAGTATGGGCGAGATCGATGGAAGCGGTCCGAGATGGGGGTGACGATGAGGATTGCAATAAGATCCATGATCCAGATAGGGGCAAAAAGCAAGCTCACTTTGACACCACTAGAGCCAGGCTGAATGGAGGCAATGATGACAGAGCCATACAGTTGAGTACCGATACCAACTCCGACGACACCAAAGTACATCATGGTCAGAGGCCAGAGTCGCCAGTCAACGAGGACGTGGAGGAGGTCCTTTGCAGTCCAGGGACGAGAGTGGTAGACGCGGCGAAGGTCGTGGTAGTGGATAATGGCATCCTGGCCCTTGAGTACCTCGGGAGAAGGAGGCAGCCACTTGAAGATGCCGGTCCGAGGTCTAGTCTGACCAGGCGCAAGAGGACGATCAGGGAGCCACCAGAGAAGGATGAAACTCAAGACAACTGCGACAAGACCGTAGATGAGGAACATCCATCGGAAACCGACAAGACCACCACTGCCGTCCATAAGCTGGAAGCCCGCAGACACAAGGCCAACCACGGCGGCAGAGACCTGAGCGGCAGTAAAGTACATGCCGATTCTCTTTCCGGTTCGCGAAGGAGGATAGAAGAGAGTGAGGTAGAAAGCCATGCCGGGCCACATGCCTGCAATAACAGCTCCGAGCAAGAATCGAAGAAGCTTGACGCTCCAGGGATCTTGGACAGCAGCGAAGCAGGTACCGACGACGCCAGTAGCAAAGACAATACGGGCCATCCAAAGACGGGGGCTGAGCTTGCTCATGACCAGGTTGGAGGGGAAGTCGAAGATGACATAGGCGACGTAGAACAGTGCGAGAGCAGTCGAAGTATCCTTAGGAGTCAACCCAAGCATAGTCATGAGGTCATGACCTTTGTCCTTGTTCATGGTCTGAGCAATTCCAATGTTGGATCTGATGGCTGAACAGAGGAAGTAGAGGATCCAAAAAGCTGTGAATCTGATAAGCATACAACTCTGTCAATTCCTAAGATGTGGACTAACCAGGAATGATACGGAGATCAATCTTTCTGTAGTTTTTGTGAGTAAACAGTTCGTCAAGAGGGGATTGCGACCACATACCGATACACACGTTCGACCGTCTCCATATCATAGTCACCCTCTCGGGCATTCCCCTCTTCCTGGTTCACGAGCACATTGGTAGGGTGCTGAGGCTTTGAAGCCTGCTCATCATGCTGGCCATCGCTAGCGAGCGAGCTGGGAGCTGGTTCTGCCATGCTCGGACTTGAAAGCAATGGAGGAGCGTGCTATAAGTCTGTTGCAGGCGATATGAAGAAAGCTCAGTGTTGGTGACAGCAGTCTGATGTGATTGTAGATGGAAGAGAGGCAATGCCAGCCGAGAGGGTTTCTAAAGCGATTCCTTCAAAAAGTAATAAGAAGCAAGAAACAAGTTTGTTGTTGGAGGGAAGAAAATGGATCGAGAGGGGGGGATAAAAAAGATTGATTAAGGTGGAGGAGGGTGGGTGAGCCGATCTAGGCCGCTAAAACCGAAGGAGCAACTGTCCCTGCCTGCATAATTGGGGATAGAGCTCAAGACTAGTTACAGCAGTGGGCCGGGGAAAGCTCTAATGGAGCCGCCAACGAGAAGAGCTTTGGGAACTCATGACAGCGTGATTGCTCTGGATACTTGTGGATAGAGTCATACGAGGGTACATGCGTGTAGCAGCAGGTATAACGTAACTAGATACCATGGACAAGTCTCCTCCCTCCATCTTTTCAGTCCGTGGCATGCCGTCCACTCGAGGTGTGATGTGTTGGAGATGGAGATGGTAACACTTTAGACAGCAGGCCATGCACTTAATCCACAGGGCTGGGTCGGAATCTAACCGGCCCTGGCTCCTGCAGACCATCACGCGGGTATAAAAAGCCGCTCTCGGCCTCATGAGTCCAAGTCTTTGACTAGACGGCTCGGTAAATAACCGAATCTCGGGGCATGGTCGCCGAGGTATTTCTCGGAGAAGGTTAAGCAACGGCGAGTTCACCTCCGTATGTGGTAGCGTGATGAGAAACAGTTTTCAAGTCTCGTTGTACTCTGAAGTCCTTAGGATCTCCCTGCGGCTCCTCGCCAGGGCCCCAGGAGGTGGAATGACATGAACCATTCGTGAACCCTTAAGTCCCCACTCGGGCACTCAGTGGGTGACGAGTAGTGGCACGCAGTTGTAAAAAACCATCAGGCACAGTCGACATCTCTGCTTTTTAATAGAAAGGCCCCTAAATATATAAAATAAAATATTCAAAGATTTATGATACTATTTCTTATTATCATCTCTTATTTAGCTCATGCTTAAGCTATAATGTGAAGACTCTTTATTGGATTGACTGAGCGCACCCGTCCTGAGTGCGTAGGACCCTGTCGACCGCCGTCTCTGAAGTTGAATTGGCTCCAATTGATGAAGACGCAATAAATAGAATGGAATCTCGAGGAGGTGCCTTGGGTCTTTTTATTCCGTTGGGCCTCTGCCTAAACATATCTTTGCATGTGCATCATATCGTGCCCATCGCCTGAAAGTCATCATGACAAGTTGAAATACCAATCATAGGACCTAATGCACCCATCAAGTCGCCTCATCCTTTGAACGCCTTCTCCAACTCGGCAATATCAAGCTTCTTCATCTTCATCATAGCCGCGGTCGCCCTGTCTGCTGCCGCCTTATCCCCCGAGCTCAACATCTCCTTCAACACAGTCGGCACTACCTGCCACGCGATACCAAACTTGTCGCCAAGCCACCCACACTGCTGGCGAGAGTGATCGGCGCCCTCCCCCAGCTTCTCCCAGAAGTGGTCCACCTCTGCCTGGTCCTTGCAGTCGACCATGAGGGAGATGGCTTCGCTGAACTTCCACGGGGCGGGTCCGCCGTTGAGGGCGACAAAGTGGTGGCCCCGGAGGTCAAACTCGACTACCATGACGGACCCAGGCTCGCGGCGATGTTGCTCCTTGCCGGCATCGGAGTAGCTTTGGGTCGTGGTGATTTTGGAGTCTGGCGCAAAGATGGAGACATAGTAGTTTGCGGCTTCTTCGGCCTGGTTTTCAAACCAGAGGCAGGTAGAGATTTTGCCTATCGACATGGTAGATGTAAGTGTGCGAGTGTATGTATGTGCTGATGTGAAGAGCAGTATTGAGACGAGATGCCTAAGAGCGAGTATTAATGAGAAGGTTGAAGAGTGAACACTGGTAAAGAACGGGAGGAGCGTGGCATGGGGTCACGCAGGTATAAATAATTGACCGAGACACCTCAAACCCTTGATCAATAGCAATTCCAATTGTGCGAACGACGAGTGAAGCGTAATGGTGGCTTGCAACCTCAGACAACTAGTACCTGTGTTGCGCCGCAACCTCATATTGTAGTGCATCTCGGCCTAGATTAGCAAACATGAGCCTTCACGCAGCGCTGCGATATAATAGTGAAGCATCGTGAACTGCTCGGAAGGGGTAGCAAGCCACCTCCTTCGGCGGCGCCGTGTGTGCATCTTGGCACCAATCGACGGTGGCCTCCTTCATGATCGGACGCGGGGAACGCTTCATTGCAGCGATCAACACCGTAAGCTCAAACGGCATGATTATTAAACTGTAAACCGCACAAGTTGTGCAATGGATATTGTTGGTTCTGTGCCGGTGTTGGTAGCAGTAGATGAAGTGTATTTACTGCTTGAGGAGACAAGATTCAATACAATTCATGTCGATGGGCCAACAACCAGCGACGACCCGATATGCAACCTCCAATTCTCACCAATAATGATGTGCACAATTTGTGTGGTATTACAATCCAGGAGCATTAGCTGTTTTGGGGTTGGCCCATGCCAGGCCGTGTCGTATCGCTGTCGCTGGCTGAGGAAGTTCAACCTCATATTTCGGGTGTAAATGCAGAAGTGCCTTACAACCTAGAACGAACCAAGACGCCCAAAACAACAAGGTGTCTCCAAACCTGCAGTCCCCGTATTTCCCCTCATCACTCACTCCCTCCCGACCGACACTGGATCTATGGACCAACACCAATACCCGTCGCTCTGATCTTTGCTGGAATTATCCATGACGGATCAATTGTTCCCTCCTCGGGTGTTTTCCAGCGGGCGTCGCTGTTGATGGCCTTGGAGCCTGGAACCATTCCGACCGTCGCCAATGCCTCAGGCTCAACATCCATCGTCGTCACCCCTTGTGCCACTCACATGCTGAAGCCCTCGCATCCGGATACCAACGCGATGAGCCCACAACACGCTGACAGGTCCAGCTTTGGTCGTAACTTGTTGCTCTGATATTCGCAGATGTTGCGCCCGAGGCCATCATCTCGACCCATTTACGGTTTCACGTTGGACAAAGTTGTCCAGCGCCAACACTTGCCACATTGCAGACAGGTACTGGATGCCTCACCAACGAAAGTACCAAACAACAGGACGAGGTGACTCAGGCGCCTGTGAGGGACAGACCCTCAATACTCAGCCCAACTAACCAGTCATGGCCTCTGCCTCGCCTCCTTCAGGAAGCTCACACAGACAGGTCCCTGTCCGCTTGGCTACGTAACATCCAATAGGGACTATCTGGATATACAGTTTCATGCTTGGACGTGTCAGCCAGATCTCGCCAGCTCGCGACCCTGACGCAACCTCAAGTCCTTGGGAACCGGGATCAGGCAGCTCCTGTGTATAGTGCACGTCACCGAGTGGGACATGGGCAAAGTTGATGCCGGGTGACCAGGTCCCTCCAATAAGCAAAGTCAGCTTGGCCGAAGACACCGTGAACGAGGTCACGAGATGCTGTTGGGGAGCATATTGAGCCTGCGGTTGGCGTGGCTCGCATGGCATCGGATCCAACCGTACAGCCAGTCTTTGAGTAAAGACAGGGCAACAGCTAACGGGCTCCCTCAGCTGGAGCAGGCAGCGCAAGGCGGAGACGCACGATATATTGGCACTCTGCATGCTGTTAGTGCAGCCGTTCACAGTCGCGTCGCAGCCTTGCCCCCTTCCCCACGCCTCCATCGCGAGGCGCCACTAAGAGGCACGGCCGTGAGTCACGACTTTCTACACACTTCCGGGCTTCCAAGCCAAAGGACCGTCAGGACCTTCCGTTTCGAGTCATCAGGCTGTCTGCCTAGAAGGCTCTGGATACCTACTAATACAGCCTCATTCGCATCGTGGCGCGACGTCTTTAACGAAAGCGACAAGCGAAACGATTCGGCTCAACCAGTGCCACTTGATCTTGATGCTTGACAGCCTGTGGATACGTACCTCTTTAACACGTTGACGCATTGGCCACGCACTTCCGCGCTGTCACGTGAACAAGTTTGACTAATCCACCCACGTCAAGCCTCTGGCTCTTGGCTCCGCCCCGTTTTCCGTTGGCTTCCGACCTTCATACCAGCCCTATTTTTCAGGCCTCCATCCGAGCCGAGCTTCACTCACCATCACATTTCATATCATATCGAAGCGCATCTGCATAACGGCCTGCCATAACCGTTGATCCGAATCGGCCTTTTGGACTCCGACTCCGATACACAGTGCAACCCGATATCCTCCTTCCTCATCAACGACGACTTCAAATAGCCCCGCGACGGCTCGACATCGCCTTCTCGCTTCTCTCAACACCCGCGTCATCTACTGAGGCAGAGTCTCGACGACATCAATTCGTAGGCGCCATGAGTGTCGCATACGAGCCCCGGACCTTTATCCACGAGGGCGGCTATCCTCCCATCGGCGACGATCATGATCACACAGCCGACCAGCGGTTTACCGACAACGATGTCGCCGAACAACTGAGCCATTACACAACCGAGGCCGCCATGCTCCCCGACAGCACAGGCATACTTGGAGATGATCGAGGCATGATGCCTGAGGATGCCGCTGCCGTCCAAGAAGCAACACGGCTCGACCTAACACATACGACCTTCCCATCTCCGACCCAGGCGGCGCTGCAAGAGCCTTCTCTCGATCCTCTACCCGAAGACAAGGACCTATCGCCAGGTGCCGGCTCTCCTCCTTCGTCCCGTATCAAGCCGATCCCCAAGCCCGATCGAGATGTTGTCAAGCAAGCGGATGGCAAATTCCACTGCCCGCTCGACGAGTGCAAGGAGGAAGTGAGAACATTTTCGCGCAAGTGCGAGTGGAAGTAAGTCTCTCCGATATCGCCACCCATATTAAGCGCATGCTAACCACTTCCCAGCAAGCACATGGACAAGCACGAGCGACCCTATCGATGTCCTGCCGACGGATGCGAGAATCTCCCCGGTTTCACCTACTCGGGCGGGTTGCTCCGACACGAGCGAGAGGTTCACGGCAAGCATGGCGGTCCCAAGAATACAGTCAACTGCCCTCATCCGAACTGCAAGCGACACACAGGGAAGGGATTCTCAAGACAAGAGAATCTGAACGAACATTTACGCCGCGTCCATACCAATCCCGACGGAACCACTCCCCCGGCCGATACCGCTCAATCTCCCGACGAAAACGATGCCGAGAAGGTGGGCATGAAGCGCAAGCGCCGCTCAAGTGCTCAGACTAGCGAGGAGATGGTTGAGCTCCGCGAGGAGGTCAAGCGTCTCAAGGAAGAGAACGAGAAGCTCAAGGCAGAGATGGACACTCAGTCACAGCATTCGCTCGCCATGATGGCTCAGATAGCCGAGCTTCAAGATGCCCTGCGTCATGGACTCGGTCCGCACACCCTGGGAGCTCCTACGGCGCAGATGATTTAGGAAACCGAGGAACCCCAGGCGTCGATTTCGAATCTCAGCTCAATCCTGCGCGACGAAACTTTGCGACTACAACTCTTGAACAGCGCATAGACTGCTTTTGCTCTGCCAGTTCTCTTCGGACGACCTCTCCTCTTTCAGCTACATTCTGCTCGGCGTTTGGTCCCATATAAGGCACAGGGCTGCCCTCCAAGGATGAACTGCATTTGCTTTTTTATACGAACCCCCATTTTTGCGCTCTTATGTTATACTTTATCCCCCTCCTCCTTTACGGCGTGGCGTTTGATTTGAATGTTCCGGAAGAGATGATATCCCCCTCCTATTTTACACTGCACGCACACGCACAAGCGATGGAACGAAGAGAACGACCAAAGGGCGAAATGCCCAGGACCGGCTTAGGCTATAAGGTTTTTTTTTTTTACGAGATGATGAGCAGGCGGGTCGAGGGAAATATGGATGGACTTTGATGTACAATCGTGTAATATATATAGACGGGTTGCCCCTTTTGCCTCCCACCTTTTTCTCCTTTTCATGAAATTTATACGTGACGGGATGAAGAAATCGTCCAGTCTTTTGTGTCACTATTCTCATCTCATCTTGACTACTTTCGTCTCATTTTGTGTAATGTGATGCTTTGAGTTCATGGATCTCACCGGGTGTCCTCGGGACGCTCGGTCGTGGCAAAGACACCACGCACGACGACTTCGTCAGCAACATGAGGAATCAAGACGGACCCACGGCGCATGTCCATGATGATGATGCGTTATGTACTTTCCCCTTCCTTGAATGCTATGCCACAATGTACACGAATACCTCCTCCCTTTCTGGGTTCGACGTTTTTTTCTTCGTCTACCATCTCTTCCCAAGTCCAAGACTCACATGGTAGAATCCCAGCAAGTATCTCCAGCTCACAACCCATTCATATATACACTGCCACACTTTCTCAAGCTACAGCTTGTTCCGTCCTCTGCCGCGCCATCCTCCGACGGCAGGTTTCGCACCTGCACCCCCTCTTGGTTCTCTAGACAGCCTGGACGTAGCTCGCAGGCACGCTTCCCGTGACGCCCGCCTTTTCAACCTCGACCCAACCATCGCCAGGGTCATCCTGCACGAGGACGAAGCGTTCGCCCTCGGCCATGGAGTGCTCATTCTCGCTCCCTGCCGTGTACTCGTAGAGTGCCTCGACGTAGCGGAGCTTCTTTGCGCCGCGCTTAGGTGCCACAGCAGGCCCCTTCTTCTTAGTCGAGGCTGTTACCGATGAGGTGGTGGATGTCGAATACGTGGATGAGGGCCTGGCGGCGGGTGCTGGCGCTGAGGGGGTGGTTGTTGTGGTTACTTCTACATATGATGCTGGGACGAGGCCTTCCTTATAGCCTAGACGAACCTTTATCCAGCCGGAGCCGTCTGTTGCAGTTAGAACATGTCGTGATCATGATAGGGAATAGTCAAACTTACCATCGGGTTCAAGTAGCACCACATCCCGGCCTTCTGGTACTGTGAGCTCGCCGTCACCGCTCCCTTCGAAAGCATACAGCATCTTGCCCTTCTTTTCCTCCTTCTCGCCGCCGTTTGGTGCATTAGCTCCTCCATCTGTGATGTATGTTGTTGGTGGAGGCGCCATGATTCGGTTCTTGCGCACAGTGTTGGACGTCTTGGACGAGATGCTTGGTCGAGGGCCAACCTCAGGGGGTGTCTCCTCTGCAGGACTGCGCTGCCCAGACACAGAGCCCGATAAGGACGGGCGTGCCGAGTGTGAGCTGAGAGAAGTCATGGTGTTGGAACGAGTGAGGTCGGGCCCGTCAGAAGTGGCTGAGTGCGTCGATGTCATAGTGGCACTCGGTTTGAGCAGCTTGTTCGCAGAGTCCTGGCGTTCAGCCTTGAGCTTCTTGCGCTCCTCCTTTGTCTGTTCACCAGGGCAGTCGGCGGGCACCTTCATCTCGCACTTGCTATGACACGTGTAGCCGCAGTCCCGACAGTCGAAGCCCTTGGCGCTCAACCCCCAGATCCTCTCACCGCAGAGGTCGCAGTTGGTAGGTATCTTGAATGTCTGCCCCTTAAAGTTGTGGTTCTTAGCTCCGAGGGTGACATCGCCGACAACGGATGTGATGGTTGACGTCTCGACCTCGGCCGTCAACCGCTGACGATCAACGGCGTGAAGGTCTTCTTGCATCGCAAAGAGGGTACGGACGACTTCGACCTCATCCTTCTTCTCCTTGCCTTCTCGAACTCGCTGCTTCAAGCGTCTCACACCCTCGACTTCTCTTCTCTTCTTATCCACTTCCCTCCGTAGCTCGCCCAGTTGCGATTTAGACTTGCTCAAGACGTTGCGCAAGTAAATCTTGGCCGTCTCATCAACCACCATGGTTCCGTCGTCGTGCCAGACGGGGCTGGCCTCGAATTGCTTATCCGGAGGTTCTCTCCAAGAACCAATGTTGTGCTGGATGTACATCATAGAGTCGAGATGCGGCAGGTTCCTCAGGATCTCGGTGCCTTGGTGCACAATCATGCCATTGCTCTGCTGCAGCATGTCGGATTCGAGGTTGGTCGCAACTGTCCAGAGGCTGTTGAGCTTTGTCGTTCGGAATTCGCTCAGGTCCTGTAGACTATCCATAACCTCGGGGATATATTCGTGATAGTACTTTTCCTTTTGCTTGTTGGTAACGTTGATGGAAATGATATAAGTGTTCTTGGCATTGTTCATCTCAAAGAGCTGCTGCTGGTAGGCACTCTGGGCCTTGGCCTTGTCGTAATGCGATTCAGTCTTTTTGCGCTTGGCCTCGACCTCCTGGCACACGGTGTCGTACTTGGCCTTGGTCTTGGCGAGAGCGGCATACGAGCCGTCGCGCTCCTGCTCGAGCTTGGCGGCATATTCGGCATGGCGTTTGCGCAGTTCCTCGAACCGGGTACCGAAGAACTTGAGAGGCTCGGCGACCTGGGATACAAGGCTGTTGGCATATTTATCGTGTTCGCCGGCGCGGGATTCGAGCGTCGTAAGCTGGGTTGTCCATGTCGTCAATGAGGCACTGACGTAGTTAGCACGAATGCGCACAAACCGGATCACGGAAAGGCGGATGGTAGCTTCGGTCTGTCATACCTCTCAAGCGAGCCGGGCGTCATGGCAGGAGAATCGCCAACGCTCAACTGAGCCGTCTTCTTATTCTTCTTCTCAAAGTACTTCTTTGCGAGAGCCGTGAGCTTGGCGCTGTATTCCTTCTCGATGACAGCGCGTTCTCGGTAGAACTGCTGGATATCTTCAAGCCATGCGATGCCATGTCCGACCCAAGCATTGGCGGGTTTGAAGCCGTCCTAGCATGTTTGTCAGCTGTACGAGTCCACGTCAAGTCCAAGTCGAGTCTCGGTTGTCGGATCTGCAGGGGCGCAACCAGCAATGCCAAAGCAAGAGCCAGAGGCGAAACAAGTCGAGGGTATCATCGGATAAAGAGGCAACCAACCTTGAGCTCGGCGCCAAAGGTGGGCATTTCGTCCACCTCAGCCATGATGGGCGACGTATGGATGTAGTCGGATCAGAGCGGGGAGGAGGGGGGTCGTTGGTCGCTGAAGAGGAGGCATACACGTGATGGCAGAGCCGGAAGGAGATAGAGTCGGAAGACCTCGAGGCGACTATCGTGTATGAATGGAACTGCTAGTAAAGTTGAAGCTGTAGATGCGACGGGGGAGACGACAGCGGGGGAGAAGATGGAGGCGCAGCTCGAGGATGGGAGAGAACGGTTGTCCCAATGGAGTAGGTGGTGAGTTTAGGCGTTGATGCCCCTAAGTCACAGCGGAGGCGGAGGTGCAGCTTGCAGCCAGAACAGCCTAACCTAACGACCATCTAAAACCCCGCCAATTAATTAATGGCCCCGGGCCAAGTCTAACCTAAGGCTTTTTTCTGCCCAGACGGTCCTGCCGATTTCCGGCGCCAGCCACAAGGAGCTTGACAGTTCCAGGCTCCGAGATCCATGGATCAATTTAGCCGCTGCGATGAATATCTACCTACGGATGGATAAAGGCAGGTATATGGCTCGTACCGTTGTATCTCGATGTTGCATCCCTAAATCTGCTTGGTTTATCCGGGCATGCACAATGACGAGACAGCTCCAGAGCCTCAAACAAATAAAAGCTGACGTGTTGGGCCTCAAAATGCCCCATATCATGACTTCTCTTCTCTCCCGTGTCCAGGGCAACTCGTTCTGGAAGCATCCCCTGAAATTCCCCCGTATCCCTGCTGTTACAGGCGTGGCCCGCGTCTCTCCCACCCCGTAATTATGGGCTCTAGGGACGGGGCGGGCTGGGTTCGGTGGGCGGTCGGATGGAAGCCGAGGGGCCCCCGGACGAGCCAAGAAGCACGTCACCGTTCCCCTATCACCAGCGAGCGAGCAGCCGAGAGCTAACAAAGTTGAACTATTGAACGTGGTTTTGATCTTTATCTTTTTTCTTTCCATCATCGTGACTTGACGTTAATACCCCGTTCTGTTCAAAGAGGTCGCATCCCATCACTGGACAACAACTCCCGCTAAACCTCGGCCCTGCGAATCCCGAGCTCTCTCACTCAGCCTTCATCTATTCACCTGATCTTTGCGCAATCATGGCATTGACTCTCCAAACCGCCATCAACCAGGGCAATCCCCTCGCCGAGGCCGTCATCATGCCCTCCAAGCCCAACGCTCTCACCAAGCGATACTCGGAGCTCCAGGCCGACGTGGCAGCCTTCCAGCGCAAGCTCGCCGACCTCGGCATCACCAAGGCCGCGCCCGTGAGCATCGCCCTCGTCAACTCGTACGAGTTCATCGTCTCTTTCCTGGCCGCCTCGTGGCAGCGCGGCATCGCTGCGCCTCTCAACCCCAACTACAAGCAGGACGAGTTTGAGTTTTACATTGACGATGTCAAGAGCGCCATCGTCCTCGTTCCCCGAGGTGCTTGGGCTGCCAACGCTGCCAGTGTCAAGGCTGCCAAGAAGTTCAACGCTGCTGTCGCAGAGTGCTACTGGGATACCTCCAAGGGCGAGGTTGCTCTGGACGTCAAGGACTATGGCCTCTTGAAGGGCAAGACGGAAAAGGTCTTGACTGCTGAGCCTGATGATGTTGCTCTGATTCTCCACACTAGGTTGGTTATCTCATGATATGCCTGATATCTCAATCTCACTAACACTGGACAGCGGCACCACATCTCGACCCAAGGTGGTGAGTATATGATAATTAAAACCCATCCATGGTCAAAATCTCACATTTACAGGTCCCTCTCACTCACCGTAACCTGACCCGAACTATGCGTATGTTATTGAGAGTCAGTCATGAGTGAACACCGCTGACTGACCCTACCAGACAACATCAAGCAGACATATCAGCTCACCGAGAAGGACCGAACCATGCTGGTCATGCCTCTGTTCCACGTCCACGGCCTGCTGTGTGGTCTCCTGGCGCCCCTCTTCACCGGCGGCTCGATGGTCGTGCCCACCAAGTTCTCAGCCTCCGAGTTCTGGGTCGACTTTATCGCCCACAAGGCCAACTGGTACACTGCCGTTCCTACCATCCACCAGATCCTGCTCAAGAACCCTCCCCCGAGCCCCAAGCCAAGCATTCGCTTCATCCGTTCCTGCTCCAGCCCCCTGTCGCCCACCGTCTTCCAGCAGCTCGAGGAGACGTACAATGCCCCCGTGCTTGAGGCCTATGCCATGACCGAGGCTTCGCACCAGATGACTTCGAACCCTCTTCCTCCGGCCAAGAGAAAGGCTGGCACCGTCGGTATCGGTCAGGGTGTCGAGGTCAGAATCCTCAACGACCAGGGTGAGGAGGTGCCCCAAGGCTCCGAGGGCGAGATCTGTATCATTGGCGAGAACGTGACCAAGGGTTACCTTAACAACCCCGAAGCAAACACCTCTTCTTACCACAAGAACGGCTTCTTCCGCACGGGTGACCAAGGCAAGAAGGACGAGGACGGATATATCATCATCACCGGCCGCATTAAGGAGCTCATCAACAAGGGCGGCGAGAAGATCAGCCCTATCGAGCTGGACAACGTCCTGACCCGCCACCCCAAGATCAGCGAGGCCGTCAGCTTTGCTATCCCTGACGAGGTGTACGGCCAGGACATTGGCGTGGCTGTGGTCCTCAAGAACGGCGAGAAGCTGACGGCCAGCGAGCTCAAGGGTTGGGTGGAGGAGCGAGTTGCCAAGTTCAAGGTGCCCAAGAAGGTGAGTTTGCTCTTGTACTTGAATGACGAGAGATGCTAACTATGGCCAGGTTTACTTCACCGAGGTGATGCCCAAGACGGCGACGGGCAAGATCCAAAGGAGAATCGTGGCCGAGACCATGATGAAGCAGGAGACTCCCAAGGCCAAGCTGTAAAGGCAGGAATATTTACAACGGCATACACTACTACAGGATATCTATACACATACATCTCAAGTCACTAAGAAAGAAGAATCGGTATACATTTGGATAGAAGGCTCAAGTCAAAGAGAGATTGTTTCTCATATATTCATGAAGGCATTTCGCTGAAAACCTGCTACTTTGAAACCAATTATCCATAAACCAGGCTGTCTCATGAGCATATCATTACTTCTCCCCCTGTCAAATCTCAACCCCGCCGTCTGCTTTTTTGCTTCTTTGCAGATCTCGTAGATTAACTCCGCATTACTTGCATCTCGTCTAAAATTCAAAACCCTGTCGCTATCAAGACTTTTTAGTCGTAGTGGCCGTCGTCGTCGGCAAGCTCAATCACATCATCTTCGTCGTTGATGTACAGGCGGCTGTCGTTCCTCTTGAGACCGCTAGGTCGCTCAGCGGCGCTGGGGCCGAGATTCTTGCGGGGGGTCACGGTGTGACGCTCAACCCACGAAGAGGTACCGTCTGGTGCCTCCCAGCGGATGGGCTCCTTGTTGAGGGATGGCTTCACAGACTCCTTCTTCTCGGAATCGGCAGCGGGCTTGACCTCGACGCCGGCCTCCTGGGCGCTGTGCAGACAGGCTGCGTTGGCGTCTTGGAGGTCGAGGAAGACGGAGACGATGGAGACGGTGGACGAAGTGTCCCGGTGGAGGAGAACGAAGACGGAGGGAGCCATGATGTGGTTCTTCTGGGAGGGGGGCAGGTAGATGGTGTCCAGCGTCGTCTCAGGTAGAATGTAGGGCATAGGTATATGGTTGTTTGTAGGTGTACAAGTGTTTAGTATCCAATGGATATGAATGTTTGCTTGCTATGGTGTAGCTATTGTATGAAAATGTGATGAAGTGTGAAGAGACAAAAGGGAAGCTATCGAGGTGCGAAGCAAGACATTATTATATCATTGTACCTTACCCAAGCTACCCTTGCACGATCCAATTGCCAACCACCGGGGCTCAGCTGACCTTGATTTTTACCAAAGCAAGGCCGCCATGTTTCTCGCCGCCTCTCGCCGCATCTACAGCTGGTTCCCGAACAAGGTAGAATGGGGTAAAAGCTCAGATCCAATGCGGGAAAAAGCCAACCAAAACCCCGGTCTTAAAAGTTGCGCGTTTTCTAAGCTAGTCACGGGTGGTGTGACGAGGGTGTGCCATGAAGCAAGGGACCTTGCCTGTCTCTATTGTCTCTGTTAGTTTTCTCCCATCTGTGAGAAAACCTTTCCCCTTATCTGAATGTTCCGGCCCGGCCGATGACCTCTTTTTTTTTCTTACGTTCTCGAGACCATCGATCCCGTGGGCCTTGACGACATGGGGGTGTGGGCGGAGAGGCAACGCCGAGCTTTGCTGGTCCTTTTTCGGAGCTGGAGCGGAGAGAAGCCGGGTTCCATCTCCGTATGCTCCGGCGCTCGCCCGTACTGCAAAACAACGAGCTTCTTGAAAGGAATAATACTTGCAAAAAAAATTCATTCTAGAGGACACTCTGTCTCTCACATCTACGCGAAATCTATGGCACCATCATCCAGGGCCAACGTGGCAACCGACCCTAACCCATCGCCAGCATATCCCCCTCCCCCATAGATAGCATGATGACATACGATACCCGACGCAAGAAATTTCTCTGATGAACGCTTGGGCCGGACGGCGGCGTGTGATGGGCGGTGACGTTATATCCGGCTGGCCTATGCTGAAAGACGGAGTGAGCTCGGGGAGTGGTTAGCATAGCCCTTCTTCTTCCCGGGGTCTCCGGGTTTGCACTGCGGGATGGCTTGCTGAGCTGAGCTACCCTGGAATGGAGACACATCATTTGACCCAGGACGTATTTCCCCTTGAGGATGGCGACTGTCGTCACAGGTCGGAAATCTGTGTCGCCGATCTAATTGTACCAGGTTTCTCTCCAATCTTTTCTTCTTCAATGTGACTCAATCTCGCACGAGGACACAAACGGCCATGAGACCCCGTTTGTGATTCCCGGGGTCAATAGAGGGGGAGAGCTCTTGAGAAGCTTGTAGCCGAAGTCGGGGACCAACAAGCTCTTAAGAATTTGTCATGACCTTAGATTTTTTGGTAAGCATCGTCATGGCCATTTCCAAGGAATAGAATTCAAGTCGTCTAATATTCTCAATGACCATGGGGTTTTCTCACATATTACTTTTGGGTTGCAGAAGAGATGGTTCGGTTGCTCTCTTGGCCTTGGTAGTGGGAGCATAGCTCTCACCTGATCAACTCGTACGGTGTTTTGTCCAACACCTTCATACTGGCTGATACTATAGGATTGCCAGCGGCAATTCGTCACCTTCGTCATATATGACTCAAGCTAAAAGAGGGAAAGAGGAACAAAAGAGTAGTTATTGCAATTGACATGCAACGATTGGGACGTTAGTCTTCAATGCTGACCTCGGTGGTTATCATGATTACAGCACATACCCTGGACATGGACGGTCCATGGATATAGACTCGTCCAAGCCAAAGCAACAACAATATGTTGACGGATTTCATGATTAAATAAGCTTCTAGCTATGATTGTCTTTGAACATGTATAATTGACAGAGATGCATTCTCCTGCACTGGCTCCCTATGAACCTATCATGACATGACACCATGACATCCAACATGTTGGCCATAGTCACAGATGGCCCGGCTACCTGTATTCTAGTATGCAACAATTGTGTCAAAAACACCTTACCACTATACCGCTAGAAACCGGCCCATCAGCATCGCCAACCTCCTCACATCCTCGGTGGAGAGCTCATGTCGATTCGAAAGGCGCACTCGGCGCGCCTTTGTACCCCACATCGAATCGTCACCCCCGCAGTTACCTCTAAGAACCCTCAACGATATAAACCTACCTCACTAACGTCTTGGATCAAACCCCTTTCCAATGGCATCGCGTCTTCGAATCTCGCCAACTTCCATTTCTCGATTTAGAGTCACCCCTCGTCTTACTACTGTTCGTACAATGCAGTCTGTCTCGGTGCCCCCCGGCAAGTACGAGTTCCTCGTCGTTGTCCCGGATAAGCCTGGCGTTCGCGAGAAGAGGCTCGAAGTTAGACAGTGAGCATCCAATTGACTACAATTCAAGCATGTACTAATGGTTGTAGTATTCACTTCAGCAACATGCTGCCCAATGTTGAGAATGGAAGCTGGAAGACGGGAGGTATGTTAATTAGTTCTTATCACTCGCGCATCTCACCCACGAAGCTAACTACGTGTAAAGGTGCTCTTCTGAACAGTGTCCCCAAGGATGACAGCCCTGACAGCCTCGACTTCATGGGAAGTACCCTTGTCTGCGTGGCCAAGTCTGTCGAAGAGGTGCGCGAGCAGTTGAGCAAGGACATCTATGCTACATCTGGCGTGTGGGACATGGACAAGGTGAGAACACCCAGCATACAAATAGACATGTGCCTCTACTAACTCACCGAATAGATCCAGATCTATCCCTTCCGCGCTGCCTTTAGACAGCCTTAATCTTCGACACACAGTCTGATGACGAGATGGATAAACGTAATAACATAAACAACTGAATTCTGCATTGCTCACTCCTAGGATGTCTCCGTTTTCCCATCCGCCCATTGCTGGAGGCCCCCATCTTCGAGTGATCCATCCGTTCCATGTTCCCATCCTTGTCCAAGCCCCTGTGCCCATCCAATTCCATATCCCTATAATCAAGTCCTATTAGAAGCTCAGCAAACAAAGCCCAAGCAGCCACCAAAACACCTCGAGATCCATCCGACCTGGAACGTTCCAATTAAAGTAGAAAATAAACGCCACAATACACCAGACAGTCCATTAACCGCTTTTCACTCGGACTTGCTCTCCTCCACTTCCCTGGCCTCGACATGTCCATCTGCCTTTCCGTTGCCGTTCTCTGCTGCTTCCTCCGCCGCAACTCTGAGTTCGTAGTTGAGATCGAAGCATTCAGCAAGGAGCTCACTGACGCTCCCTTGCCCCTCAGGGACGTCGCCGTTAACCACAAACTTGCCGTCCACTTTCATATTGTCGAGCGAGTTGAGCTGCTTAAAGTTAGATGCAATGCATTGCCAACCAAAAAAAAAACAACGACACTTACCTTCATGCTGTACGGGTAGAGCTCTCGTACAGACGAGACACCTCCGTTCTTCTTCACCTCAACCAGGCAGCGCTTCAGCGTCTGCAGTTGGTTGTACACAGGTAGCAACGCCTCCGATACCGGCTCTGACGCCAGCATGAACGAGTAGATGTACGCATACGACCGTCGGATCAAGTACAGCAGGGTTCGCTGAGTCCAGAGGTCAGCGGTACGCCCCCGATCGTCCAGCCAGTTTCCAGCATCTCGACTTTCGTCAATCCTGTCAAGCTGTCGTTGGAAGTCGTATAGGTCTGTCTCGCGCAGAGACCATGCTTGTGTCAGGGAGAGCTTCTCGAGGTTGTTGCGAATCTGAAGCAACTCGGTGTAGACTGGTCGCCATTGATCGGCGACTTCTCCTTGCCTTCTCAGAATTAGCACACGTATCGCTCAACGAGGCGTAGTTCAACTTGCCGCTCAAGCACGAGGTCTGACCACCGGAGGCAACGGTTGTAAAGGTCTCGAACTTCCTCGCTACCCTCCACCAAGGAACCATCCTCTGCTGTGAACTTGCCACCGTTGTGGCTCTCGCCAATCTCCAAGATCTGGTTTCGTAGCTTCTTAACCTCGTTACTCGAGAACTACGCACCGTTAGCTTGGCTCTGAGACATGCAACAACTTCCCTACCTTAGACTTGGTGTTTGCCAGAGAGATGGATCGCAGGATAGAGACGAGCTTCTCGTGAGTCTCCAAAAGGGACTGGGGGACTCGCTCTAGTCTCTTCTGAAGCTTCTCAAGGGTGCTGTTGCAAAGCTTGATTCGGTTGCTAAGCAGAGTGAGCATGTAGGGAGGATGTCGCTTGTCAGGAGATTCGTCATTCGCGGCATCGCGGATGCTGTTGCACAAGTCCTCTAGCGTTGACTTGATGCTCCCAAGGTCCTTAGCGGAGTACACATCCGATTCAACCAGGTGGTCGAGCAGTCGCTTGATGGTCGAGGTCAAAGCGTAAGTCGCAGGCGCTTCGTTGTTTCGTCCGATCGTGAGATAAAAGAGCGATAGCAATTGGAAGCAGCTCTCAAGGACCTTGTCCACTGCGACAAAAATGTCAGCTTAATCGCATATATCGTGGGCCATACATACGTCTGTTCTCTTCACTGTCGCCTGTCTCGGCGCGGACGACGGTCAGTTCCTTAACCTGGTCCATAGTTTGATCAAACAGAGGCATGACGTCTTGTGTTCGGATGTAGTTTGTTCGATCCTGCTTGAGGAGCAGCAAGTGATCCCGGGTCATGATCAGTTTGTCGAGAATGGCGCGCTCCCGGGGGTCCCGTGGCAAGGGGATCGCTGGCGTGTCCATGATGACGGATGTCGGGCTCAAGCTTGCTTGGTGTATCGAGCGTAAGCTGGTTAGGAATGAGAGACGAGTCTTAATCAAATTCGTCGATATTAAGCTTGATGAGCTGTTCTTGTTTTGCGCAGGTTCTCCGAGCTTCCGTGGAGTGACGAAAGGCGATGAGAGTGGCGGCGGGGTCAGGTTTAGATAGGAAGATCAGAGTCGGGCCTCAGTGGGGGAGGTCGCGATGGACTAGGTCGGCGTAGCTTCGCTTCGCTTCGACCAGAGAGAGAGCCAGAGGCGGAAATTCGGAGGATCGGGAAGACCTGGAGGAAGGACGAAAAGGTTCGGCGACTAAGACTTGAGGAGCTGCAAGTCTTTGGGAGTCAATCGCAGCGTTTTTACGTACGAAAGTCTGAATGTCACGCTTGTCTGCCAGGGATGTTGTCACTTAAAAGAACCCCCTCCATGTGCTGCACTACGGCACTGAGCCCGAACCTGCGATAATGGATAATGGTGGGGCGCTGTTTGGATCCAGTCAAGGTGGGGTACATGCCGCAAGGCAGAGCGGGTCGCTTCTCTTGGACTCTTATTGGCTCGTTAGCCAGGCAGGCACGGAGCTCGGATAATCTATTGAGCCCTCCACTTTAGGTCTTGAAGCCCTCCAAACCCGAGAATTTCGACCAGGGTAATTTTCTGTGGTAAGCACTCCGGTTAGTGATATTCGACCTCAAACCACAATCGAACTCGACTTCGTGCAGACTCACCAATCTCCCACCTGCATCGACAGAACTCATTCACAATGTCTCACGCCGAGCTCGCTTCGTCCTACGCGGCCCTGATCCTCGCCGACGACGGTGTTGAGATCACCGTACGTTTTCCCTCCCGCCGTCAAAATTCCACATGCCCCGCGGCCTCCTCGAAATTATGTGTGTGCGGGTGAAGGCTAACTCGTCATCGCGACACCACAGGCCGACAAGCTCCAGACCCTCATCAAGACCGCCAAGGTCGAGGACGTCGAGCCCATCTGGACCTCCATCTTCGCCAAGGTACGACCCGATCGCGACTGCGCCGTCATCGAGAATTGGATTTTCTAACCAATCAATTTTTGTGCGAATAGGCTCTTGAGGGCAAGGATGTCAAGGACCTCCTCGTGAACGTCGGCTCCGGTGGTGGTGCCGCCGCTGCCGCTGGCGGTGCTGCCGCTGCTGGTGGCGACGCCGCCGATGCTCCCGCTGAGGAGGAGAAGGAGGAGGGTACGTTTCAACCCCTCGAATCGTCTCTGTATCAGGTCGCGGATTGCTAACAACTACTACAGAGGCTGAGGAGTCTGACGAGGACATGGGCTTCGGTCTCTTCGACTAAAAAGTCACGCCGCTACGACTGTTTCCTTGTTTTTCGCACTTCGACTGCATGGCTTCGGGGTTTCCAATCGATCGATCATACAGGATGGAGAGAGGGCACTATATCCTGCGCCCTGGACAGAGTAGCTTCCTTCATACGAATCTATGATGAACGCACTCAACGGAGTTTACGCGGAGGGAGAATTGGTCAATTCAACGGCTCTGAAAAAAGAAAGGTTCCCGCCATGGGTGGTTTGAGTTCAACATGGGTCTCTCGAAGTGACAAGTGATGGTGAAAGTGTGAATTGGATGGAGTCTTTGTGCTCCTCTGCCCTCTACCTAACCGCCATATTTTCTGCGTAGTCTCGATCTTGCTTCCTCTCGCCCGTCATACCCAACCAACGCCGCGCAATGCACCCTTCATTTACGCCCACATAAACTCGAATTTATTTCACAATCAACACGGAAGAGGGAACCAATCCCGCTTCCTTGAGGGTCTTGGACATGTCGACATCGCCCTGGAAGGTCTGTCTCGGGAACGTAGTCGTGAAGCTGGTGACGACATTGCCAGTCTCGCTCTCAATCTGCTGTGCCAGCTCAAACAGGGTTGTCTCGGCAGGGAGCGTCTTGGTAATGTTTCCCCCGCCGGTTTGCAACCGGAGACGGGCCTCGTTATGGTTGGCCTTTGGCTTGGGCGCGGCGGCCGCAGCGGCACCGCCGGCAGGAGTGGCGACGGCCTCGGCCTGGGGAGCTCGTCCTTCGCGGGCAGCCTTGGCCTCCTCGGCCTTGCGGCGACGTTCGGCCTTGTCGGCTTCGATCTTGGCCTTGATGCGCTTCTTGGCCTCCATGTCTTCGAGCTTCTCTTGGCGCTTCTTCTCGGCTTCCTTGATCTGCTGCTTGCGGGCGAGCTCCTCCTTGGCCTCCTGGGACTCCCTGGTAGACTTTTGACGGATTTTCTAGAATAGTTAGAAATGCCTTGCTTTTTGAAAGATGGAATATACCTCATTGCGCTTTTGCTCCTCCTTGTCTTGCATGGCTTGGGCGGCCTTCTTGGCTTGGAGGCGCTCACGGAGCTCGTCAAGCTTGGCCTTCTTCTCGTCCTCGGTCAAGGGGGCAAGCTCCTCTGTCGACTCTGAGAAGTCGGTGTGCTCACTAAACCCGTATTAGCTGTGTGAGACAATAGAGTAAGAAAACTGTTGACATACGTCTTGGTCGCGTGATAGCTTGCCAGATCATGACTTCTGAAGCGCTTGCCGCACTCATTGCAGACCAGAGACTTGGCCTTGCCCGTCTCAAGCTCTGCGATCTTGGCCTCTGTGTCGTCATCCTCGTCATCCTCCTTGTCGTCGGCGGCGGCAGCCTTGATCTCCTCTAGGGGCTTGTCCTGGTTGTCCTCGAGCCACTGGAGAGCTCCCTGGACTAAGACGGGGTCAGCTAGTGCATTTACAAATGAGATGGGAATAACCGACGGCCGCCGGACTTCTTGACTGCGAGCTCGGCACGCTCCTTGCCAAAGCCCATGTCGAGCAGGGTGTCGAGATCGGAAGGCATGTTGGCGGTGAGTGGTGGTGTAAGGTGTAAGTTTGTCGATGGTGGGGTTGAGCGTCTGAGGTGAGGGGCTATAATGTGAGGTGAGGATGATTGGAAGGGGTTGAATAAGCTGGGTAGAAGCTGCCTCTGGTGAATAAAAGGCAAGTGAATGCTCCCAGATATTCACTGAGCCGAATTGAACTGGCTTAGGTAACTAACAGTGAATCTGATGGTTGTGGTGGTTCTTAGTTCCAGTTTGAGCTTGGGCTGAGAACTCTCAAGAGACGTCATTCAGGCGCTGCCTCAGTGACGTGCCTGTCTCCCGCCGGGTTTACTACGGCTAACGCCGGACGCTTTAAGCATGCTCCTTTGTTCAAACTCGTGATTGTTTGTTCATGGACTCGAGACTATTTGTTGCATGCATATAGAATGCGCTGTTATCTTCAATCGTTATAGATTATTTCTTCTGTTCTTCTTTGTCTCTTGGTCATGTCCTCGTCTCTTCACCCGCGCACGCCATGACTTTACCTCCTTGGCTTACGACCATCAAACGTCGTTTGGTGTGTTCCCTCATTCACGATGCAGTGCCACAGCTGGAACTTGGGCTAAGTCTCATAGACTGGTGATCAAGAGGGCTCTGAAGCAGCTCAATCAACGGTTTCGGAAGTTTCAGATGGCCGTCCTCCACCTCCCCGAGAGCTGCTCACCCATCGAACGCACTATGAACTACCCCTCCTCAATCGTCGGGTAGATGCTGCCGATGACTCTCCTAATTTTGCCTTATATCGAATATATGAGCATCTGATTCTCGACCAACACCTCGAAATCCGAAATGAGATTGAGGCGTTTTGGTATCACAAAGACTGGGCTGTAGTTGACATCCCAGATCCCTACGACCCAGATCCGGAAAGATATGCCTGTTTGGCTTGTATCCCGGCGCTTCTCTGTCTAGCTTTCAATCGAAGGATAGAAATGGGACTACCGAGAGAAGCCCCTCCAATATTCAACCATGACATGCTCGACGAGTGGAGAGCACAGGAGCCCAAGTTTGAAAAGGTTCCTGCCTGGACAGAAAAGGTGCCTCGAATCGAGGAAACGCTGGTAATACCTCATTGGGACAATAATGAACGAAAGTTTGTTCCTCTGGCAGGCTTCGACTGTGGTGAAGCGTCAAAGGAATTTGCAGACAAAAACATTCTGGTGTGGCATCCACACGTTCACTTTGCGTAACAGTTACAACACAACACTTGACAGGAATAGAAGTAAATATTATTAATCGGGTAGGTAATAAGGGTTAATTCTAGGGTATCTTTTCGGCATCATCCATTCGTGATATCGTACACTGACTCTCATTAGGTCGAGTTCGCTCCTCGCTCAGGTCCAGACAATGGGCTTATAGCCGTAGCTCTGGAGGTATTTCTCGTCCAGCTGCTTCAGAATCTCTGGTCGCACATCATGGCTATACCGCCGGCACCAGTCGTACAGTTCCCGGGACTTGACATAGTTCTCGGCGGTGAGGATGAGATGTCGATTGAGATAGACGACAGCGTCGTCCATGTCGTATGATCGAGGGTTGATTTCGCAGAGGCGGTTGAGCTTGCTGCATACGGCATATGTCCAGGGGGCGGCATAGACTTTCAAGCCGCCCTTGGCCCCTCGCTTCTCAAAGACGACGGCATTTTGTCGCTTGGCTTGCCGTACGAGGGAGGTCTGGACGTCCCTTGCCATGAAGAGTTGTGTGGAGTTGTTGAACCACTCTTCGCCGAGGCGTCCTTCAGCCTGGCGGTTGGCAAACTTGGCAGCAAGGTCGAGGGACATGTATTCTTTTGAGGCTGGATCCTCGAGGAAGAAGTCGACATCATGTGTTGATTCCCTTGAGCCGAGGTAGACTGTATTGACGGCACCACCAACGACGACGACGTTTGCTTCGATACCGCACTGGTCAAGGTACTCGGCCATGTGCTCGAAGGCGTTGATGATTTGTCTCCGGCTTAGGCTCGAAGCCTCATACTGGATAGGACGTCCCGTCTCGTCGCGAAACATCGGGGGAATCATGACAGGGCCACCCATGGGGTCGGAGATGGTGACGGGGCGGACGGGACGAGACTCCATCTCGCGCTCATATTGGGAATGACTGCAGCCCATGGTGAAGGCTAAACAGGTAGCGATGGTTGAACGGGATGTGAGATAGAGCCGAAGACAAGGTAATTAATACACCAGGTTGTGGGTTGTGGGTGGTCGTATAGACATCTAAAAGCGTCTACTTCAACCCACCTGACCCGAGCGATCGGGTTCGTATTAAATACACGGATCTGCATGTTACGAAGTGGTTGCATGTCCTTTGTCCCTAGGGCCGTCGGTTGTTCTGCAAGTTCTGGGCTCAGCCGCACAGGACTCGAAGGGCGAGGAAGCCTTGGCTGAAGGGTGGCACCGCCTCGCGTGGGCAGAATACGAGGGTTGTCCTGCATATGGCGCCGGCCTGTTCAAGGCTTATCCACACAAAGCGAAGCGCAGGACTACAGCGCTTAGCTCACTCCTGTTCGTGAACGAGGTCGTCTTTTTTTAGTCTAGGAATGTGCTGATGCCTTGTTCGCGTGAATCATTTTAATTTATTTATTAGTCTCGGTAGGACTCGAGGCGGTCGTTGAGTCTGGTTTACTGCTGACCGTGTCTCGCTCGTGTCTTGTCGGCATCTCCAGAATCCGACAACTACACCATCACCAGACATGGACGGAGGCTGGATATAAATAAATGGCGACGCACTATGTATCGACCTACACCATGGCAGAAATTCCGCCGCGACCCGTCGACACAGCTGGCACTCTGGCTGCAGAGCCGCCGCCGACACACTAGCACGCCAGGGGATGCAGCAGCAGCAGCAGCAGGCTCTTCTTCGCCCATCAGCGTCGTCTGCGTGTCAGACACACACTGCGCTCAGCCCGAGGTCCCCGACGGAGATGTCCTCCTGCATGCCGGCGATCTGACAAACCGGGGAAGCTTTGAGGAGCTTCAGGAACAGTTGGACTGGCTCAACACCATGCCGCACCGGTACAAGGTTGTCATCGGCGGGAACCACGACAAGTTGCTGGATGCAGAGTATGTGAGGCGGTTTCCCGATCGCATCTACGAGGACGAGGGTACGTCGCGCAGTGATTTAGACTGGGGGGAGATCGTCTACTTGCACAATTCGTCTACTACGCTGCGGTTTGCCAACGGTCGCAGGCTCAAGGTGTACGGCTCACCCTTGACGGAGTTGTGCGGAACCTGGGCCTTTCAATACCCCCCGATCCGCCAGGTCTGGGCGGGTGCCGTGCCGGAGGACACAGACATCCTCCTCACCCATGGACCGCCGAGGGGCCACCTCGATAACGGGGGCAAGGGATGCCCTCAACTACTTAAGGAGGTATGCCGAGTACGGCCCCGGCTTGTAGTCTTCGGACACATCCACGCCGGAGCAGGACTGGAGGAGATGACCTATAGCGGCGCCGACAGAGCGTACCACTGTGTCATGACGGGAGAGGGCGGGCTGCTGGCGGTGGCCTTGATGGCGTTCTGGGTATTGGTCGAGTGCATCTGGCCAAGACGAGGCACGGAGCACACGACGACGTTGGTGAACGCGGCCGTGGTGGGCGGTCAAAAGAGTGAGCTGGCGGTCAAAGTAGTTGACATGTGAGCTTGTGGCCACGCTCAGTGGCACGCTGCATGAACATGAATCAATCATGGACGGCGTTGAGTGCCATGGTAAAAGATAGGGAGATCAAGGTCAGTGATGTGGAGTAGATGCCATGATTTTCTAGTTAGATTCTTGACAGTGAACAAGACAAAACAGTCACGTCTTTTTGTTTTGTCGTCCGTGAAGCATAGAATATACCGATATACCCAGTTAATACCTCTTTGCCTGCTTATCAATGCACACATGTCGCGATGGCCAAGGTCCCAAAGACAAGGAACCGACGGAATGGCAGTTCCTGTTCCACTGCAGACCCAAGTCCCTGTTGGCCCGTGCGCCCGCCCTGTAGCAACCAACTCAACTGGGAAAAGGGCAAGCTGGCTTGCTGGGCTGTGAGGGAAGCGCTCAGAAGCAATTACGTCGTGGCAGCAATCAGACGCCATCCCCATCCTTTCTCCTTCACCTCCATATTAATCTCTGCAATTTTCGCCCGCCCCCTTCACGCGATAGCCCAGTCCTAGTCACGATCACGATCACGCTCATCAACTTTGTCTCTGAATCATCGTCTGCCTGCTTTCCGAGCCATCTCGCATCTGCCTCCGGTTGCCACGTTTCCTCTTACCGCCGTATCGAGGCCTCAAGCGCATCTCGCGACCACCCCAACAACACCAAACCAAAGTCCGTCGAAGACGAAACTGAGCCACCATGTCGGTCGATATCGAGCCGTTCGAGCTTTCCTTTAGACGTTCGTCACCTGCGACACCCGATACCGTGATCGTCGGGGATTGACATTGACATGGATGCCAGGTCCTTTCACGTCCGAGGTTGCGCAGACCCTCACCATCAAGAACCCGAGCTCGACTCCCGTCGCTTTCAAGGTAACTCAAGTTGCGCCTCTCATGCTGCGACCTTGCTGACCCATTTCTAGGTCAAGACTACCGCCCCCAAGCAGTACGCCTACCCCCGCCCCAACCCCTCGAATCGCAAACCTGACGACTCCTGAATAGATACTGTGTCCGACCAAATGCAGGCCGCATCGAGGCCGGCCAGAGCTTCGATGTTGCCGGTAAGTTTGCTCACGTGCTTGTCATGCAAGCACTTGACTGACAAACTGCATAGTTCTGCTCCAGGCTATGAAGCAGGACCCTCCCCCGGATGCTCGATGCCGTGACAAGTTCCTCGTTCAGTCCGCTCCCATTACAGCCGAAAAGGAGTTTGCTAGTATTGCCAACGTGGTATGGATCCAACGGCTTCCAACTACTTCAGACGGATAGCTAACCGCAGTATCTAGCTGGAAACAACGGAGAAGAGTCTGCTCGTGGAGCGCAAGATCCGGGTCAACTGGCTGGCGGCGAACCCCGAGCTTGACGAGTCTGCCAACCGCCCGGTAGCTACGCCTAACAAGCAGGCCATTGCTAACGGCGTAGGTCATGACAATTCCGATATGTGGGATTTGGCGACTGACAACGCATCCAATCAGGCCACCGATACCCCCGACATCTCACGCACATATTCTTCCCCTGTTGCTAAGGAGGAGTCTCCCTCGGCCGCGGCTCCACCCCCCTACCAATCCGAACATATCCCTGAGGAAGACGAGAAGCCCCAGCCCGCGGAGGACCCCGAGCCAAAGAGCACAGTCGCCCAGGCTACAGCGGCCGTCAAGGAGGCCGCGGAGGTGTCTTATGAGGAGCTCAAGGCCAAACTCGCCCAGGCAGAGGCTCAGATCGTGTCACTTAGGGAGACTGGCCTCCGACAGCGCAACGTCAAGCCGGCCTCGAGCGAAGACGAGAAGCGCCCCCTGCTCCAGACTGCCCAAGCAGTCCAGCAGACGGTTGAAGGCGTGCCAGTGCAGATGGCGGCAATCCTCTGCCTGATCAGCTTCCTGCTCGCCTACTTCTTCTTTTAGAAATAGGTGAAGATGGTTAGCCCAGGGTCTTGATATTTTAGAGGAAGCTACTAGACAGACCTGACGACGCTTTACGAAACCTAGTCTAAGGAGAGTCTCATGGTGATCAAGGGCATGCTCTAATGTGCTGAGGAGGGTAGAGCTGGATCCACAGGACTCATGCCTTACTACGAACAAGGGGCATATCGGGCATCACGCGACAGCAACCCATGGAGAGCAAATGTGCATGCATACAGGAGGAGGATGAAGCCATGAAGAAGAGCGATGGTGTCTGGATTGGGTAACGAGAGGGACGAATACCGCAGCAGGTGGTCAATTGTCATTGTCAGTCGAGGGGGACAAAAAGGTGTTCTGTTTGCAAGGACGCGGTTGATGTTCTTCTTTTTTTTTTTTTTATTGCTGTACACTCTAGCTTGAGCCTCTTCTCTCTCGTGTGGCTCTTGATTGTTTTTTTCTTGGTTTTCTTATTATCTTTGTTAATCGCGTTCCCTGATAACAACTGGGCGTCAATTTTTGTTGTCTCGAGTCTGCTGCTGCTGCCATCAAGAAGCTGTTCTTGGTCGCTTGTACATTTATCTGTCTGATCTGAGAGGGACCATAATTCAACTTGAAGGCATCTCGCTTGCTGGCATACGCTTGCTTGTATATACAATCACTCTCGTTTTACTCAAAACTACCTATGAATCATGTCTGCGGCCCCGAATCGAGCCTTATTCAAAACATCCAATCATGTATTTCTCAACCTTGAACGCCTTGCGCAAAAGAACCACACTCGCACTCTATGATGCTCTTTTTCGTCTATTGCGTCAACTCGCAGCCGAATGCAAGTCGATCCCAGAACAGACATGGGCTCTTTTTCCCTGGTGCCAATTCAGAATAATTTCAATCAAGACGTCAAAATTTCATTCACTGCCACATCTCATCCTACATCACTTGCTGATTTCCCAACAAGTCAACTTTTAGGCCTGGATCTCAGACTCCTTCCAGTTGGCACCACCACCAACAAGGCGGCCGCCGTTCTTGCGCTTGACGCGGCAGGTCATGCCAACGTTCTCATCCCAGATGAAGCGCCAGATGGCGTAGCACCAGCTCTCGTGTCGAGGCAGGTCATCGTAGAACTCGTGAGCAATGTCGCGAACGGCATGCAGACGGGTCCAGGGGACAGCAGGGAAGTCGTGGTGCTCGTTGTGGAGGCCGACGTTGTAGGTGAACCAGTTGAGAGGTCCATAGTACGAGAAGGTCTCAGGGACGGGGATACGGTTCTCGGGATCCCGCGCCGTGGGGGTGATGGTCTCGTAAACGTAGTGCTCCGCGATGAAGTGGCCGGCTAGGGGGTGAAGGCTGCCGGCAAGGAAGGAGGAGAGAAGGAGGTAGAGGATGGCGTTGATTGAGGCGAAACGGTATAGAAGGGCGTCAAAGGTGAGCTGGACGGCGATGTTGAGGAAGTGGACCTTGGTCAGGGGGACACGGTAGACGGCCATGGGGCGGAGGGCGTAGAAGAAGATCTGAAAGGTGCAGAAGAAGGCCTTTCCGAAGATGGAGTCGAGGACAAAGGCCTCGAAGGCAGTCGGGAGATCAGTGTCGAGGCCATCAACGCCGAGAGACTTGTGATGAGTGAGGTGGTAGGGCTAGCAGCTATCAGCACGGGTTCATCCTCCAAGTCGAAGCTCAACATACCCGGAAAGAGGCGCTGTAGGGAATGCCAATGGGCAGATTGGCGAAGATTGCGATCAAGCGATTGGCGCGGGGGCTCTTGAAAGCCAAGTTATGCGAGATCTCGTGGATGGCGAGGAAGAGGTTCTGGTTTGCGGTTGCGCCAAAGACGTAGGCGACAGCCCAGAACTTCCAAGAGAAGAAAGGAGTGTCATGAAGCGCCCAGGCGAGGAAGACCTGAAGAGAGACGACACCGAGGACGACCCATTTCGTGAGAGGCTCGGGGCCGCAGAGCTTGGTAATCTGTTATCGAAGGACAGGTCAGCATCCGAGCTATGCGATGGCGGGGTCAATTGAGAAATGACGAACCTCAGGATGGGCTTTGATGATGGCGAGACGACGAGTTCGATGAGGCTCCTCGGTGTAGGTCCAGAAGAAGTCGTTGTTCTTCTGGGCGGCGTCGTCGTGCTCACCCGCAGGAGCTGGGGTTGGGCTATCGCCCTTGGCCCTGGATGTCACGGTGGAGGAGTTGGCCGCGGTCATTGCGACGGAAGTGTCGGGCTCTCTCGGTTTTTTTCAAAAACGATTGTCCCGAAAAAAGCAATTGATAGAGACGAGATGAGAACCAAGAGAGTGCAGGTTCAAGAATTAAAAAGAATGTGAGACTTTTGCCTCTTGTTTCCTGCTTTGCGGCGTAGAGTGACAAGGGGCAGGAACGGAAGGCGACGTGGAAGGCGGTGAAAATTTAGGGGCGCAGGCCATGAAAATTGGCGGGCAAATCTCAACCTAAGCAAGTTGCCAGATTCAGGGGACCGTTTTTGAGGGGTTCGAAAGCGGGGACTCAGCGGGTCCAATGGGAGCATCCGATTGCGCGGCGTGTCAGCGGCTGAGAGGGTCCCGGAGGCGCTGATGAACATTGGATGCAGCAGAGGCTCTTTTTTTGCCCCAAGATTTCGGAGAGGCGCGGGGCCAGGTGGTGCGAGTGGTGCCATCCGGAGCCGTCGAGTTCCGGGGATTAAGTTGTAGGACCATACGATTCTTCGGTATTTGTTGGAATGTCCCTTGTTTTGATGCCGGGGGATGTATTTTTTACATGCTGCTTTCTGTGGCAGACTGTCTAGGGTTTGGATCATCACCAAGGATTTGCTGATTCTTCTGTCATGATTGGCATCTAGGCATCAGTTTGTAAGGGCGTACGAATACGAATACAGAGGTCAATGAAGAAACTGGCCGAGAGCATGCATCACTGGAGTGGATCTACGAGGTTTTATCTTTACGCGGACTGGACGGGCCATTACAAAGAAGCTGTGCTGATTGCTTTTACCTGCATTGTTCAATTGGGATATCATCTGATGGATGTATCTACTGGAGAACGAGAGAAGCGTCACTTGGTTCCCGCTGCATACTATTAAATGCCAAAGATGACATTACCGTAACAATAAGAGGAGGTCAGGATAGAGAGGACATGGCCTCCTATGTACTTATGATGGTCATTAGGTAATTTGAGCTTGCCTCGAGGCTTCAATCATTCATAGATTTGCCACAGCATTAGATAGGCTTCATTGTACCCCTGTATCGGGTGTAAAGTGGCGAAGCCGAGGCATCTCCCAATGCCTCTCCATTGCCTGATCAGTCAAGGCCAATTGAGCATGAAACATAATGTTCAATATGGCGTTTTCTTCAAATATCACACTAGAGGCTTCAAGAGCTTATCCGCCTTGAGTTGACGAACTTCAATCTAATTGCTAGCTCACCATTCGAAGTAAACGGCTTGTGAGTGGTCTCACACCCAGCTTTTTTAAGAGTGGGGACGTGCACGGCCAGCACTTGCCCAATTCTTGGCAAGAGGCTTGGTCTGGACCACCCACCATCAAGTTGAGCCTCAAGCCATGTCCAACCATCTTTCAACCTCGACCTTTCATCATCTTTGTCGTGGAAATAGTTCATCGGATTTTCTAAACTTATTGCATGGCTTAGTAACTTTTCCAACTCGATTTCTCGATTCCATCACAGCCCAATACATACATACCCGTGCTTTATCACAGTTGCATCTTCAATGAGGATGGGCCGCCACCTATAGAAGCTCAACTTGAAGCATCGATTTACTCTCGTCTTGCACGACAAAGGAATTAACAGCAGGCCCGAAAAGCCAGCTCCCTCAATTAAGTAGATTCTCATTTTTTTTTAATAAAAGACTACGATATAATGATTTGTTTTTGTTTGACGTTCTATTGCAGACATGAAGCCTTTCGGTGTTATTCTTAAACAGTTATTTCAACAACAGCCACACGAATCGTCAAAGTTTATAAAACTTTTCATTTTCAACTTCTGACAGGATGCCAACACTTCCTTCTCCTTCACTCAACATCGGCAACATGGACGTCGCCTCTGATCGCTTCGGCCCCCCCTCCTCTTCAGTGTCCTGGCACTCGCTGCCCCGGGAGATCCAATTAATGATACTAAATTGCCTTTTCTCCGGTCGCCTCCCCAAGCGAACAAACACAGTGCCTGGATAGACGTTTCGAATATCTGCTCTGAGTCCCATGTGCAAGGACTGGCAGTACTTGGTCGAAAAACGCACCTTTCGTCGACTGTCCCTCAAGGCATCGGATCTGCCAAGGCTTCAGAAATGTGTTCGAGGAAAGAATGTCACCAGGCTCAACCACATTAGGCATCTCTCGTTTCGAATCGAGCTCGTCCGATACAGCTGTCCGGCCTGCAAGAAGCCCGAGAAGGAAGTCATGATTGCCCGGTGAGATATTTTAGAGTCCGTACCGGGATGCACTATCACTAACCGTATATAATCAGAAACAATAGGGTCTTTACCTCGGCTCTGAATCGTCTACTGAAGGCTCTCTCATCTTGGGACCGCACGCACGGAGGGCTTACGTTGGAGATTACTGCCCTTTCACCCAGTGATGTTGAGCACCATGCCTACGAGCCTGAATTGGCAGATGACTATCCATTCCAACTTGAGGAAGATCTGGAGCAGCCTTCCAGATTTCGGGAATATCACACCGCGAAGTCTACTGAGCACAGAGCGTTTTCAAATCGTCACATGAGGGAAGCTCTAGTGAGGCTTCATGGTACACCTCTCGAGATGACGCCGCTGTTTTGGAAAGGCCGCCCAAAGTCAATCCCAACACTGGCTGAAACTCCTATTATCAAAGGTTTCCTTATCCGCCGGTCATTCTTCAGGGGATTTGCACTCAGCACGCTTGCAAAGCTCTTCAATGAGAGCTTGGTAGCCCTGGAGTGGTTTCGTTTCGAACGATGGGCTTCTCTCACGCAAGATCAGGAGATAGCCTTCTATACTGGTATGATGCCCACATTCGGTCAGAGAATTGATCATCGCTAACATATCGTGGCAGATATGTGGGCCTTCTTGATACCTACCTTGCCTCGGGCCGTCAAGAAGCTGTCCTTCAGCCAGTGGTCAAGGTGGAAGCCACCTTGGATGCATGGGCCCTTGGATCAGATCGACTTGCGCAAGTCCCTCTCCCGATCCCTAGCGCCATTGGCTTTGCAGTTGACCGAGTTTTGCCCTCCTGATGTTATGATCCTCTCGGAGTTTTTAGATCAACTAGGCCAGACGAGTGGCGGTTCTCGAGAAGCCAAGCTTGAGCTACTCTCCATCAAAGGCGGAAGATTCGCTCAGAGCTGTGTGACTAGACTACTGACCTTAACCGCTGCGGCAGCAAAGGCATTGCCACGGCTGCGCATTCTAGAAGTGTGGCATGACACCCGTGGGTATGAATACCTCTTCCGATATACGCAGTCTAACGGCCAAGCTACTATAACCTGGATGAACGGTGGGGACGAGTATCCTTTGGCACCTGAGGTCCTTGAAGTGTGGGAGGGCGTTGCCTCAGCGTATTCAACTCGACCCATTGTTGTGGATAGAAGACGATTTCCAAGGAACCAAATGACGGACCAAACATGGTACAATAGATGCGTGTACCCTCTCCTGGAGCTACGGAGACTGGTCTTCGACCCAGTTACCTTGGAACGAGAGTCACTGCTCATACGCAAACCATGAGCATAGTTTTCTGGCTTGGTAGATAGAGAAGATTGTTTCCAGGGGTCAGTCGTTATTGAAATACTTACTAGGCTACGTCTTACTCTCTGTCTTGCATCTTTACCAACTCCCTTTCGACACTCTCCCAGAAGAGTCTTTCGCAAACTTGACGCTAAATTTTTATTAACAGACTATGAGAGTTTAGATTAGACCTTCCACTGGGGTTTGGTAGAACACCATCCTTCAGGGTCGGCTCTACGCAGTCCACTCCTTGGAAGTCTGTGTCGCATGGAGCTCCTGGTCCCCAGCGCCAGCCTTTTATCAATACAAGATCGCATTGTCTTTGCTGCTCAATAATGCCATAATCCTTTCCAGAGCCTGCTCATCTCCCTCAATCGTCTCTGCCAGCTGGCTATCGACCCAACCTGTAGTGAATCCGCCCCCGAAATCTATCAGCCAGGCATCATCCTGCTCATCAATGATAACGTTGCAGGGCTTGGCATCTCCCCATACTAGTCCATGCTTGTGAAGGAGCTGGACACTTTCACGGATCTGCGAGGCCCATTTCTGCTTCGTCTCTGTCGCTGTGGCGGCGAGATCAATCTCAATCCCCAGGTTCTGTCCAGGCACCCACTGTCTGAGGAATCCCAGGATTCTCTTTGTATCCTTGTCATGGATGTATCCCAGAAGCTGGGGAACCCGTACAGAGTCTTGTTGGGGGAATGCTTTGAGAATCTTGCCCAGATATTCCAGCTCTCGTCCTTCAGGGCCGCCTCGCAGTTGGCTTGGTCCACCCTGTGCCTTGCAGAACATGTCGCGTCCGTCTACCAGGACGGCAGCAGTGACATGCCTGACACCCTTCATAAACACATTCTTGACCACAATGTCCTCGGGGGTGTATCGAGGAATGTGTTCACATAAATCCAACTCCTCCTCAGAAGTTTGGCCGAGCTCTCGATTGATGAGATGGCCAGCAGCGTATGCTTCTTCGGGTTCGACTGGGACAACCGAGGCGGCGCCTGAATCACAGTCCAGGCGAAAGTAGAGTATCTCGGCGAACAAGAACCGATGCAAAGTTGACCGTTCTCGAGTCGGCGTCTTGGGTGTCAACTGGGAGAAGAGAGGCTTGCCAGCCTTGAGTATGACACCAAGCACCTCGTCATGAAGCGATTTACGCTCTTCAGAATCTTCACACTTAAAAACCTGTGAGAAAATGTCGATAAGATGGTCCTGGAGAGGGCGATCCTTCGGCTGCAGGTGGTTGCTGTCCTTGGTCGATAAGCCGTTGCTTGGAAAGATGGAGACGTGGATATGCGTGCCATGGAGCTCAAAGGTCATGCTGGCGCCTTTTCCGTTGCCTGAGCACGTTTGCTCTATGAAGACGGTGTCCATCATGTCTTGTTCTGTCATCTCGCCCATTTTCGGTGTGATTAATATGTTGAAAGCTGAGAAAGAAGGTTGGGCATCATGACAGAGGCGATATCCATTAGAAATAGACAGCAGACGGGGAAATTATACCCAGTCGTTACTCAAATGAAGCCAGGTGACTGCAATGAACAGGTGATTGTAGTTGGCCAACATTCATTGCAGCTGTGCCATATCGGTCAGACTGAGAGTGAAGCACGAGTGTCACAGTACACAGGAAGATGAGCATCACTGCCGGTATTAACGGAGACACAGGTAATCACAGCGAGCCTGCCAGGACGCGAGGGAGCCGCGCAACTTATCAGGGGCATATCAGTCAACTAAATGAGGTTGTTGTGAAAGGGAGGAAATAGGGCAGTAGTTGAATCACGTTGGACGAAATGAATCACGGTAAAGCGACCGCCTAAATGGAGGCATAAGAAGAAATAACTATGGATTACGTACAAATAAGTGTAATGGTGCTTTTCTCTTATCTTGCTCATATAGTATAGAGAAAGGGACTGTTTTATAAACCTACCTATGAATTATCACTTGATCGTCTTCATGAGTATTAGCTAAGCTATAAAAAGTATCGAGGGGAAAAAGGACGGGACCTCACACCCAACTAATTTGATGTGAGCTTTGTCACCCACACTGGGCTGCCCACCACGGTGATAAGAAGCTGGCGCAGTTGTTGCTGGAACGAGGGGCTGACATGAATGCAAGGGATCGTTGGGGCAAGACAGCGTTGCAATGGGCCGTGGCGAACTGGCAAGTCGGTATGGCTGATCTACTTTAGAATGTAGGGGCCGAAGTCTCTTGATTCTACGAGTTTCAAACCGGATTAAATGGACATGAGATGACGCATTGAGCCTGTCTACCAGGGTAGTCTGAAGCATGGCTGCACATGGCTCGTCTGTTCGTCTTGCAGAACAGCCGTCATGATTTTGACAATGCTCTTCAACAGTTCAATAGGGATAATTGAGATTTCTTAACTTCTATTTTCAACGCCTGATGGCGGAGACAAAACAAATTCTCTAGATTCCATTCGTCGCGCATGAGAAGACACCCGACACGGTACCAGCCTCGAACTGGTCAATAATGCCCTGCACACTGGCGTACGTGCCAACTGTCAAGAACGCGATGCCGATGGCGATCAGGATAATGTTGACAACATTGCCTATCAAGTCGGTGATGAAGCTGTGATGTCGTCCCACCGCCTTATCGGCGCCGCGCATACGGAAGTAGGCCACACCCCAGAAGATGAAGCCGAACCAGCTGTCGAACAGGGACGACATGACGGAAAGCACTATCGATTGTGTCAATACAGCTACTACACTTTTCTCTCAAGGTGACCACTTACGGGAGTTGAAGAAGGGAATGACCATGGCAATGATAAAGGCCAGAATCCACGTAGCCAGCAGAATTCCAGCCCAAGATCCCCAACCAACGACGGTGTGGCTGTTCATGTGCTTCGAATTGCGGAAGAGACGGAAAAAGACGAATCGAGCCGAAACCGAGGCGTACAGGCAGCCCAGGAAGATGATGGTGGGGATCATGAACGAAAAGGCCGCCTTCTTATACACGGGCTCGAGCGAACCAAAAGCGGGCGCCGTCACGTATTGGTTACCAGTGTAAGCATACACAATGGCTCCAACGATGCTAAAGACAATAATCTCGGCGATTGTGCAGGCCCAGAGCGCCTTGGGGAAGTCCCTATGTCACGTTAGTCTGGTTCTCAAGAGATGCTTCAAATTACGTACCGTGGATCACGCATCTCAGCAATGAAGCTGGGCAGAGTAATCTGACCGATAAAGGTGTAGCTGATGTTGAGGAAGGCCGACATTCCGTTGACAAAGGTTGTGCCCTTTACAGGAACAGCAGTGACAATGGGCTCGCCCAGCTTGGCCAAGTCATATCCAGCAGGGTGAGTCTGGATGGCAGCAAAGATGGCGGCGAGCAGGACAGAGATGAAGGTGAAGAAGGCCGAAGCGGTACCAAGCTTAGCCATCATGTCAAAAGTTCTCGGCAACGATCCAATCCAGCAGATGATGGTAACAATGACGGAAAACATGACGGTACGGCAGCTACCAACATCGTCGGCGGCGGTCATGGTGTTGAGGTACTTGGCACCAACCAGAACGTGAAGACCTTGGATAAAGGTGTTGTTGAGGATGAAGCAGACAGCGGTAGCCCACCAAGCCCACTCCTTGCCCCAGAACAGCATCTGTCCAATATCACAGACATCGCGAAGCTCAGGATGTCGCAAGCAAAACTCCCACAAAACAAGACTGGTATAAAGGACAATGATTGCGACGACAACAGTCAAGATGAGTCCAGGGACCAGACCAAGAACGCTATACGACCAGGGGAAACTCATAATAGCGAGACAAATATACTCGCTAAAGAGTAAACCTGCAGTCTTTTGCCATGAGCAGGTTCGATACTGGATCTGCTCTCCTTCTTCGGCCGCCAGCTGCTTGTTGAGAATAGCAGAGCTGGAATCTTCGGAATCCGAGACTTCGCGCTTGACAAAGTCTGGCAGGTCGGCGATTCGAGGTCCAACGGTTGTACCGCTGCCTCCGAATAGAGACGCCCATCTCGAAGAGGGTGTTTGGATTTGGGAGGGACGACGCTCGGGGTCGGGGCTGTCACCACCAGAGTTGACAGAGGCACTCTTTTCAGCCATTGTGAGTAAGATGTCGATTGTGGTTTGAAACTGTCCAAAATGGTATGAATCAAAGACAAGATGAAACGAATTGATCGACAAAAGAGTCGCAAAGAAGCACAACTCTATAGGAAAGACGAGCTGGCGCAAATCTCAAACTGTGGGTACTAAAAGTAAAGCACCTAGAGGGGGGGGATTGGAGTCCGTTTTAAAGAAACAAATGCTGATCCTACTTAAATCAAGGATCCCTACCTTTGACTACGCAAGGTAAACCAAGTCGAGGTAGGATTTCTCTCCATGTCGCCATCCCAAGCTTCACGACACACACACACCCCCGGGACACCTTCCACATCGGTCCATTTCACCAACAAAGCCCAACGCTAAGCAGTCGATCATCACGCAGGAAAGAAAAAGAAACCATGACAGACTCCTCATGTTCATGACGAAATAACACACCCCATGGGCGTTTTTAACACGAACGAACCGCCGAGTACAATCCGGGACGGCGGGGCGGGGACGGTTCCACTCCCGCTCCGCTCACCTTTTCCGCGCCAGTGTGCCGAACATCCGGTGCTGGCCTGTCAAAGACGCCGACGACCCAGGATCGAAGCTGCATGTCAGCCAGTAAACGCCTTTGGGAATCGCATCATCACGTAAAATATGTGATATCCACCGGGATCCCCGTATGCAGTCGATCAAACAGAATAGAGATGCCTGGAAGTTGGCAGGGGGGCGAACATGGTCTCTCTTTTTTTTGCTGGAACAAAAGGTGATTTCAGAAATCATGATTGGGTTATTTCCGTGGGGTTTCAGACGTAACGTAGCCTGTGCGTTTTTTAATCCAGGCCCGGGGGCGACACCCGGAGGAGGAACTGCTCCTGTAACTGCTCATGTCTCCCATGCTAAGCCATGGATTGACGATTTCTCGAGCTGAAAATCAATAGGTCGCACGCAATTTGATCAGCTCGTGAGCTCAAACTGGTTGGATGATGAACGAGGCGTTAAAGACTGCATGCAAACATTCAAGACATCATTAGCATGAGACCATAGTATCCGATCAGGCCAGCAACTTGAGCTCTAATCAACAATGCCTGGGGCAAAACTCTGCAAAAGAATGTCACTCGATCCCCTTTCAAGCGAGGATACTCACGTTACGTTAAACACTCCTTTCCTAGAAACTTCCTGTTTTATCATCCAGACCCAGTCTTGTAGTTTTCATATCCTCGGGGAGTTCATCTCACAAAGTTCATTCCATTACGAAATTGCCATGATGTGATCGGACAGAAACGCCCACGCCCACGCCCGAACTGAAGCCAGCCAGGGTCCCGAGGGTCCGGAACCCCCTTCGCTTCCACTTGGGTAGGAGCAGGAGTGGCCCCATCGTCGAGACCACGGCTCTGGCATCACTATAGCCTTAAAAGGCGTCATTCAGACTATTTGCTGAAGGATTCGCGGCTCGTCGGTCAAGTGCCCACGTTTCCGAGGGTCCTCTTCGCTTCTTTCATTCTTTCAGGGATGAGCTTGACAAACATGGTCACTCGAGAGATGACGAGACAATTTTTGTTCCTTCCTGTCCGGATGGAACGGGGAGTTCGGGGAGCCCATGGCCGTTGCGCACCACCGAGTCCGTGGGCGGTTTTTTAAGCTTATTGCTCAAGGTCGTGTCTCGACCACGTCGCATGTCGTTCAAGCGCATGCGATACCCACACGAGCGAGGTTATCGCCAAGCTAGTGCCAAGGGCTAGGCGATCTCTCGGCGATCGAGGAACCAGCCAATTGGCGTCATCATATCATGCAACATGCGACTTCACGTCAAATGGACCCAGCAAATCTCACAACTTCACCATATCACAGAGCAAAAACATTACTTGGAATTTTCAATTACAATTCATTCTATATCTAAAATTTTACATGGCAATTTTTCTACTTGGGAAAATCAAAAATTTAGGTCCAAATGACAAAAGAGTTCGGAGCCCGGTGTCGATTGCTCCTACGTCTCTTGTCGTCGGGTCGGGTTGTCGTCGAGGTTTGTCGTCGGGGTTGTCGTCGGGGGTGTCGTCGTTTTTCGGTCATCGTATGCGGGAATCGAACTCGGTATTGGCGTGTGCCCAGGCGTTTAAGGCGGGGGGTTTGGGAGGAGCAGTTTGACCTGACCTTGATACCATTGTACCAAGGCGCCCCTGCTCCTCCCTGGTGATCCGGTCCCGGGAAGTAATAGATAAGGGTATGCTGGATCAATCCCCTCCTGGTGAAGGATTGGTGGTGT